CTCTCTCTCTCTCTCTCTCTCTCTCTCTCTCTCTCTCTCTCTCTCTCTCTCTCTCTCTCTCTCTCTCTCTCTCTCTCTCTCTCTTTTTCACACACCTCCTCCCCCTTGTGTGGCCTCGCAAACTCCTCGTCCTCCCTCGCGGCCCCCCCCTCCCCCTAGCACGACCTCCTCCTCCCACCGGTGCGACCTCCTCCTCCCCCTCCCGCATGACCTCCTGCAACCTCTCGTCCCCATCGTGCGACCAGCTCCTGCCCCTCCCACGACTCCCTCCTCCTGGGCCTCTATTTCTAGAAAGCTTATGATCTAATGAGCCTAACTAATAGAGATCTGAGTTCTAGGTCTTCGGTTGGAATCCAACCCGCAGCAAAACAGAAGAAAAAGAACAGGAACAAGCAACGATTCATATTACCTCGTCCTTGGGCCATGCGCTGGATTCAAATGCTGCCTGAGTCCAGCACTGAGTTTGTACTATGCAGCGGCAGTGAAGAGCACAGATTGACATTCAGGGTGCCGGCAAAGCTGGTGCTCAAGTGGATCCAGCCTACCTAAAAAAAGAAACTCTATTTCATATTTGCAAGGAATATGAGCGAGAGCGATAGACAGAAAACCAAGTTGCAAAATCACGAAGAACTCCAGATAGTAATGTACCAAGCAGAGAGCATAAATGTACCAAGATTCCATCCAAATAAGAGCAAAGCAGTGAACTCGTGTGCCAATGTTATCGCCCTCAGGCCCCACCAACACAGTATCCAATGTTACTCCTCTCTGTCTGGTGCCCAGCACCCAGCCTACTCTACTGAGCTTATCTAGCCTATCTACATTCTCGCAATAGGATCACTCTGACGTTGAAGACCAATGTCTGCGCCCAGGCGCACTTCTACAGTCGCCCTCGGATGGGCAGCTCACACCCCCTGGGCCTGGCTGGAGAAGTTTCCAGTAGCTTCCAGTCGGGCCCCAGTGTCTGCGCCCAGGCGCACTTCTACAGTTGAGGGCCTGGGCCCTTTTCGGTTAGGCACATCCAGGCCGACGTCCAGGCACTAGTGTGTGCCGCATTCTGATTGGCTTGCGGGAGTCGTGTGACGACAGTACTGCTTTCTCATTCGTCCGCGGCCACTGCAAGCGGGTGCCCAGGGCGCAACCACCCGACCCTGGGCTCAACTGTTGTGGCATACTGTGCAGCCACACGGGCCTTGCAGGGCCCGTCCCGGACTTCCAGCCTGTTTCCCTACAGGGAAACTTCCAGGCTCTTGCCTGGAAGCTTCCTTCTGGCAGGGCCTACAGGCCCCAGCCTGTTTCCCTACAGGGAAACTTCCAGGCTCTTGCCTGGAAGC